TAAGCTGAACTGTGTAAGGCCATTACTTACCCTTCACAATTTTAGAAGTCAATCATTAAAAAAAATAGAATTAAATTAGATTATGACTCTGATTTAATACAGATATTTGAAGAAAAAGATGTGGTTTCACTAGTCTTCTGTTTTATAACTGAATTTAATTAAATTTTTATACCCATTCCATTAAAAATCTTTTTTAAAATTGGTTTTTATCAATTTTTTTTTAAATCTTATGTTAATTCTTAGGAAAAAAAATTAATGAAATACTACACAAAATAAAAAGTAAAGTATATTTTGTTGGTTTGTAAAAAAATGTTTATTACAAAATTTGACAATTTTCTTTTTTGTACAAATGTTTGAGGCCCCTTGAAAGTCGAGGCCTTAAGCAATAACTTACATAGCTTTTTACTTGTAAATCCGGCCCTGATGTGACAGTGTCAAAGCTGATGCTTTTTAACACACAGGGCACAAATATGAATAGAACAATCTCACTTGTTTGTTTTGATACCTCTTAATGACATGTCCCGCTAGCAATAATTGCTCTCCTATAAAATTTCTCAATAAACAGCTACAAGCAGCATATATCATTACATTGGACAGTAATACAGTGGTGCCTCGTATAACGTACGCCTCAAATAACGGATTGGCTGCGAACAACGGACTTTCCGTTCGGCAATTACGTGAGGCAAACAAGTGCAAATGATGTTTCCACACTTTTGCCGTTGCTAATGACAATCTGCTATTTTTTATACTATATTAGTATTATTAGAATATATTATTAGTATATCTAAAGTACAGAGCTCCCGTTGGGATTTGGCTTGCTTCCTTGTTTATTGCATACATCACCTCAGTGCAGGATATTTACATTTATTCAAGTGTTGTGCAAATCATGGCTTCTAAAAAAAACAGAAAGGTGATTTCCATTGAAACAAAGCAAGACATCATCAGAAGGAGTGAAAGTTGAGAAAAACTTCCTTGTCAAATGGGGAGAGGTTCAGGAGTTTACCAACACTCATTATCCAAACAGAGCTAAGGCCAACAGGATCAATGATCTCTACAATGACACCCTTGCCCGTCATTTCCGACAGGTGTTGAAGAAGAGAGAGAAACAGACCACCTTGGACATGTTTTTCAAGAAGCCAGCTGCCAAAAGACAAAGGATGGAACAAGAGGAGATGAACCTGCAAGCTCCGGTAGCCTCTCCTGAATCTGACTCCGATTAAAAAACAATAAAAAGAGACCTGCTGCAATGTGTAAAAACTCTGTATCTGTATGAATGTGTAAAGAAAATGTTCCTCCACCTCCTCACAACATCTGACTACCCAGCATAATTGGTGACTGCTCCATTTTCATTTTTTTATGGTACAGTACAGTTATTTTATGCTGCGGAACGAATTATATGTTTTAACATATATTTCTATAGGAAAATGCATTTTGTTTAACGGACGTGCACCTGGAACGAATTAAGTACGTTATATGAGGCACCACTGTATATGATTAATTTTACATTAATAGTTGCAAGCAACCCAGATAAAGTAGCCATTTTGTAAAAATGCAGTGCACTCTATAGTTCATGAAAAATGCAAATTGACTATATATGAACTTCTGGTTTACATTGGAAGTCATATTATTTCAATTCAAAAGTTTTTCCCTGAAAGCAGGTAATAGATGATTGGTACGACTATTGTTAAAAGAAAAGTATGGTATACAGGAGCAAGATGATACTAATTTGAGATGGAGAGCATATATCTTAAATTAAATAAATTAAAAATATGATTAAAAATTGCAGCCAGCATTGTGACATCTTACAATAAGTAATCGCTCATTGTATATACAATATTTTAGTTCCTGCATAAATGTTGTTTATTTGAATAACTTANACATTATCTAATTCTCAGTGACGTTCTTAGATGTCAGAGCAGTGGGTAATGTCATTCTTAATTATTAACCCTTGAATATGGCGCTAATAATATAGTAATTCGCAATACTAATAAAACAATGGCACGTTTAGAACCTATTATGGGCCCCGGGCAAGTTCCTTGCCTGCCTTGTGCCAAATTAGGCCCTGGTTACTCCGGAAAAGTTTTAGCGTAAAATCGTTCTGTTTTCCCCTATAACTGGCGGGTTTTAAGATAGGGCAACAGAAACTAAAGAAATAAAGCAGATTGGTGATAGGTACACTGTATATTACACTCGAGTAGGATTTCGTTTTTCTCAACTTTCGTGCCATTGGGCCATTGGCATACTATAGTACAGGTACAGTACTGTACGCTTTTGAATGACGTAAAAAGTTTTTATGTCATTCATCAGCTCATCTCACTTTGTAGAAGACACTATGTGTGACACGAACTTTGCCTGCAAGTGAACCATTTCCAGGCCGTACCAGGCAGCCAACTACTCCATGTCGTCCGATTTTAGTTTAGCATTATACAACATTGACATTGTTTGTATTCAAAAAATATTGTTTCATTTGAACTTTCAAAACTAATGTTAAATTTGAAATAATCATAAAATACATGAATACAATTAACATAATTTTTAATTAATTCACTTTCAACATGTGTTGTGTATCTTAGCTGAAGATAGAAAATTAAATTTAAAGACCACACGAGATTTTTCTCGTTTGTGAAATTGGAATTAACAAACTCAAACATTAAACTCAAATGGCGCGAGTTGTCTCCGACGTGAATTTCGGTGATAACGTGGAGGAGAGGCAATATTGGGAACGTCTTTTTGTTCGTAACCGCTCTTCCTTTTTCTTATTTATGCTTTTATATAGTTGAAATGAAGTTTTTCTCAATTCTTGTCCCTCAATAATCAATAATTTGTACGATCGTTTTACTAATATCCATATCCCTTTTTTAGAATACGCGGGTACCATACACCCTTCGGCAGGAACGACACCGACCCGGCACTTCCTGGCGGGTCGGTGTTGTTCCTGCCGAATATTAACATTTCCATGGTTTTTCACGCTCGTCTGACATTAGCTTTGAACTGAGATTGAATTTCCAGTAAGAAATGTATAGACGCGTACCTTTGATTGGAATACGACAGTTTAACATCATCTCTTCAGTTTTGCAACGATAAATTAGAATGACGTCAAATTTGTGCAAAAATGTGCATTATCTCAACTAATCGGATAGAATTTACATTTATTTTTAAACGTGTATATGACGTTTATCAGATACATTGCGAATTTTGAAAGTAGAAACAATGAAAGGAATGGCGTCACAAAGGGTTTCCCGCCCAAAGAAGTTCCGTGTTCAGAAATCGACCGGAAGAATTATGGTTTCCATGTTCTGAGACAAGACGGTGTCATTTTTGTAAAGTAGCTGTTAAAGGGCCAGGAAGTTGATGCCACTTATTACGTCTTTATTAGCTGAGTTGGAATATTTGAAGAAAGAAACGGAAACGGAGTCAAGATCTGAGCTTTCTGCAAGACAATGCCCCTATCAACACAGTATCCTAAATCACACAAGAAAAGAGTGTTTAGAACTCGTATTGTTAGACCATTCAGCCTATTTACGGTTTTGCTCGCTTCTTTCAGATTATCATACAAGAATGCCAATACCAGAAATGATCTTTCTCTATTTGCAACCGTTTCAGAAGCAGGGAATGGGATCAAATTCGATTTCGCCTCAGACACAAGTTATCATCGAGCCAGCTCTGCATTTTTTAAATAGGTTTTGCTGCATTACCTACACAGAAGTCTGTGTCGAGTTACACTAGAATACTATATACACTATGTAGTACCATCTATTACTACGAGCAGACGCGCGGCGAAATTATGCCGATTACAATTGTATTAATTAATTGTAAAAGACTTTTTGAATAGATAGACCATTAAAAGTAGGAAGTAATGTGTAATAATTGTCGAAGTATAATTTTTTCATTTTTATCACATCTCAATATGCCTACTGTTTGTCAGCACATTAAGTCGATACTCAATTTCCAGCCATGTTTGTTTCATCTGGTATTTTCGGACATTGGAAATTGCATCCTGAATCCTTTGTTTATGTCCACAATGTCCTATACTTTTCTACGATACACCCTGCAAGTAGTTCATGGAAAAGTTCAAGAATTTTTTAGGGATGGTCTGTTCCGGATATGTGATTGTGGGCTTGGCCAAACCCGTGATGGATATAATCGAAAGGTCTACTTAATGCCAACAGGACGGAAAGAGTTTAAACCAATTGAATCGCACAAACATGTAATTAATGATTTCATCTGATATCCTTGATCGACGATTTCTCAATAAAATTATGTAACTGTCGAATAGAATGACATGATGGTTAATTTTTTCATATTTCGCTCTGTAGTTTTTTAAGCCTGTGTAGCAGATTTGGTATCAACGAACCAAGACGTACACTGCACCTTTTTTTTTGCGAAAAAATCATTTCATGAAAGAAGGAAAAACACTTTTTTATTTATTGGGAGTACTTGAAACGCAAAGTAGTTGTATGAACGCAGTTTGACAGTCATTTATGGTAATATTCTGCAAAACCAAAATCACTTATCACAAACATTATTAAATACAACCTTTTACCAATGACGACCGGATGGCCGAGCGGTCAAGGTGACAGCCTACCGCTCTGGGGAACCCGAAATCGATCCGGACGGGTCAAATAATCCCCAGTAATTTTTCGGGGTGGTCTGTTCGGATATGTCGGATTCTGACCCTCATCACCCGGCTTCCCCATTGTGGGCCTGGTTGAATCCATAATGGGCTTGCAAAAAGAGACTCTCTTAGTGCCCACAGGGTGTAAAGAGTAGAAAAATGTCTTTTATCAATTTAAAAAAAATCATAGAGAACATTATTTTCCCTATGATTTTTTTTAAAAATTGATAAAAGACTTTACGGCACTCTGCATATTACCATAATATCGGTTTTCTAAAGACCAATTTCTCGTTTATTAATATTATGAACTTTTTCCCCTATAAGCAATTCGAAAACAAACTGCAGACTGTACGCTTTAATCTATCATTGAATAAATAACCGAGAATTCCAGGTGGCGCATAAGAAAGTCATGCATTCTCATCGTTTGTGAAATATTAGTGTTATGAATTTAACAAAGGAAGATTAGGAAAATTTAAATGTTAATTTCAAAATAATTGCTAAAAGAATCTCAAAAATTATTTGAATTTACCATGGTGCCAATTATACAGCCTTACATGGTGAGAAATATTTAATTGATGCTTTGTTGTCAAAAATTTCTTAACTGTTTTTTTCCTGACACTGTTGTAAATAATTATTTATTTTGATATAATCGATCATATTTTGATGAAATAATTTCAGGGGCGAATGAATCTACGGCCTACAAGCGTCTGAGCCAACTCAATTGGTCTAAAAAAAAAAATCAGATATTTAAAATTTGAGTTACTCCTTTTGGATTTTTCTGAATCTTCCACTGAGGAATTTTATGAATTAGTTAAGAAGAGAAATCCAACAAATTAGATTTACAGATATTTACAGTTTCTTGGAATCTCATTCGAATTATAATTTCTTATTAATTTGGCATTTTATTAGCATTGTGGGTAGAGTTCATAGCAATAAAAAACCATAGACTAATCTTGTTCTGATGTATACAGTAAAATGTTAATGTAACAAATTTATGGAGTCACTGAAAAACATTTATTAGTGAAATGTTATTACAACAAAATATAGTAAAAATGATTGTGTGATGTGAAAGTTGGGAAAAGAATAACTTGCTTTTTGTGCTGTGTAAGTGATTAAAAAGCTCTTGATTGAAGAAATCTAGATTAGAGGTGAGAAATAATATCCTCATATTTAGAGTGCATTGCTTCTCTCTTGTCATCACATGTCAGAAAGTTATTAAATAATGAAAATCTCTTACACTTTGAGAATAAAGAAGTTTTAAAATCAGTTTTTCTAATATTTCTAGTTAGGCCAGAACAAATTTCTATTTTTAAAATGATAAAGGAAATTCCAACAAATTGACAATTTATGTTTGTAACTTTTTTCATTTTTTTTTCTCTGCCCTGTAGTTGCTAAGGATCTTTTTTCCTATGTACAACATAGGTTTGGTCATTCTCACAATGGCTGTTTCTCTTTCTAATAGATTGACTGAAGATATTAGTAGATAAGCTTTGCATGTCAATGTTCTGATAGCTATATGTTTGGATGGACACTTGTGCTTGGATTGAGTTTTGGGGGATAATAGTTGGTGGAGCATTAGATTTATGGGATATCCCAAAGTCTATATTACGGACCCTACAGATTTAAAATTATAGCATAGATTCATACTACACAATAAATTAAATGCTTGTACAAACATATTAAACTTGTCAATTCCTCCCATGAAATGAGAATGATATCAACATAATGCAGGAATAAAACTTGAAAATTATGATGTGTAACTCAAATGTTTTGCATTCCAAATTTTTCTTCAGTATTTTTGCCAGCACTAAAAACAAAGGAAAACCATTGGGAGACCCTATTGCTATGAATAAATATTATTTAGCATAAAATAATTATTGTCAACAATAAACTCATTTACTATAGAATGACATGCAGTGGGAAGTCTTTGTTTATTTGCAACATTTTGATAAGCATTGTCTCATCTCAAATGTAGTGACAGAAGGGAGCAAAGATATAATAATAATCTTTTAAAACTGAAGACAATCAACAATTGCTAAATTAGCAAAAATCATTTTTTCCCATCCTTGGATGATGTGCATGTAAAAAGGCATTCATCTAAGATATTCCAAAGAAACTGACAAAGCTTTCTCTAAATTATGTGTGGAATGTGTTGTTTTGTTAATTAATGGTCTCAGAGGCCAGTTGCTTTTGTGGGTCTTAACTTTAAAAAACAATTTGGGACAAGATGTGTTCAAAGATAGTCTTGAGTCGAATACTGAATGTGATAACAGTTTTGGCTTTAATAATCTTAATGGTTTTATATAGTAAGCTCTGAGGTGCATCATGATGTAACAGAATGAAATACGTTTTTTAGAATAAAGTTATTCATTCTATGATTAAAATTGGACGTTGTTACAGTACCATTGTTCCAAATCACAAATTGTTCTGTTACTAGGATTTTTAAATTATTGTCTATACAAAATTTCTTAATAACATATGATGTGCAGGAGGAGCTGGAACTTTAGTTGCAATGTTTTAAAATGTGCTACAACAAAATTAACGTTTTGCTTATGTTTGTTGGGATATTAGAAGTATAGCCGCTATAGCAGAGATGAGAGTGGAAACATGTCTTGACTAAGTTCTAGTATATATTTTATACACAATAGACTTGTGAAGGTATCTGGACAGACATGTAATTTAAATTTTTGTTTGAGAAAATGGTTATACCCTACATTGGAAAGATGTCACATTAATAGAAATGTGTATCTGATCAAAAACAAAAATTTATCTGGGAAACATTACTGGTAAGGCAGAATGAATCCATTAACCAGCTAACCATGGTAATCATACATAATTTAGTTTGTTAAATCAATTTTTACCTGTCACAATGGCTAGCTAGTAAGATATTGGATCTGAGACAGAACCATTTTTGACAAATTCTAAATTGGTCCAAAACAGAATCTGGCACCTCCATAGTGGAAAACTGGTGCAGACTCAACACAGTAAACTTTGATCATAAAATAACTACTCGCCACACCATACTATTTTAAAAATTATACACACACAACTAATTTACAGTGTGGTAACATTGAAAAACATTGAAAAAAACGAATGTTCTCGAACCCCTTCTGGGCTCTGCATCAGGTTCTAAGAGTTTTTAGACAGGAATTCAGTTAACAAATGCCCATCTAATTGTTTCAAACTCAAGATCGAACTCTTAGTTAAACAGCATTCGTTAATTGAATTCCTGTGTAAAAACCATTAGAACCTGGTGCAGAGCCCAGATGGGGTTCGAAAACATTCATTTTTTGAAGTTACCACACCGTAAATTGGTTCCATGTGTGTAATTTTTTTTATCATAAATTATTGTCTTGAATAAGCAGTTAACGCTATGCCTCCAATTTAGGTTCTTTCCATCAATATGGAAGGAGGCAAAGCTAATAATTATTCCTAAATGGGATGACTTAGATAAAAGCATAGCAAAGAGATAAAAGCTGATAAGTGTCTTACCAATGCTCAGCAAACTCCTCGACTGTTTGATCAGACAAAGAATTATGGCACACATCACAACAAACCATTTCCTAAATGTAAAACAATACAGGTTTCTCCCAAATACTGATGACATTATTTGCAAAGCAGTGAAAGGTATCAAACAGATATTAAACAATAATAAGTATTGTTGCGGTGTAAGCCTTGACATTAAAGGGACATTCAACCATATGTGGTGGCTCCTGATACTACAGACACTAAGAGAAGCTGAATGCCCAGAAAACATGTTATGTGGTCAAGGACTACCTTCACAACAGAAGAATAACTTATTACTCAAACAACACAGGTCAGCAGAGACCTAAACAGATGCCCACAGAGATCCAGTTCCAGACCACTGTTTTGGAACATAGTATATGATCAGTTCCTGAAAGCAGAAAAAACAAAACATTTTGGAGCTGGCATATGCTGATGATCAGTGATAATTTATGATCCAAACTGTCAATGAGAGATAGAAAGAACTGGTAGCAGTGTGCTTGGGAAAGTGAAGGAATTGGTGAACAACTAAAGCTCTCCTTCAATGTGAAGAAAACGAGGGCAATTTTATTCACAAAAGGTTGAACACCAGACCTCTATAAGAAAACTCCCATGATTAGAATGGGAAGTGAAAGCATAAAAATAGAGAAGCAGCTTCAACACCTAGGAATTATATTATACAACAGACTAACATGGCTTTCTCATACAATAACAAGTATAAACAGAAGTATTAATATGTTCAATGCCCTTGCGAGGGTGGTCAAGGCAATGTGGGGCCTGAATAGGGAGTCCATTGAAATAATATACAAAGAAACCTTTATTCCAAGGATTACCTATGCAGCAGCTGCCTGGCACCTGGCAGCCAAAAGACATTATCAGGAGGAAATTGTATGCAATAGAGAGAGCAGTCCAATGGGCAACCTTGGTCTGGACAACTGACCTAATTATAGTGAACTCAGACAGTAAGTCAGTGATCAGCACATTACAGCAATTTGCTGATACAAATACAATGACATGAAGCATAAAGAACATGATAAACAGAAGTAACACAAACATAAAAGTCAGGTGGATAAAGGCCTATAGTGGCATAGAAGGTAATGAATGAGCAGATCTATTGGCCAAAGAAGTGGCACATATAATGGTGAGTGACTCAAGGTAAAATCCCTATCTCAGGAATTAAAGAGATGATAAGAGAGAAATATGGAATGGCAAGATAGATGGACATATTCAAACAAAGAAAGGCACACGTTTTGGCTCTTGCCAAACATAGAGGAAGGTACTAAAGACCTGTGTTGGCTTCCAGTCAACTATATAAACTGTCAAATATATACCAGACATTGTAGTAGTGGTGAATATTTAAAGTGTATTGGTAGACGACAGACTGCAGCCTGCAACTACAGAGAGGAGATACAGGACCTAAGTCGCTTACTCCTGAACTGCTTCAAATATGAAAGAGAGAGAATGGAGAGATTAATACTATATCATTGTCACAACAAAATACCTAATCTGGAACTTTATAACATGATAGGGGACAAAAACCTTGCTCAGAATCTCAGGACCTTTGCAAGGAAAATACTGATGTAAAGGCTATGGAGACAAGCCATCTCCCTCGCCTACATACTGGCGAGTAGCCGGTACTATGTCATATAAGTAAGATAAGAACATTGTAAATATCCTAAGTGTTTTTTCAATCTTTTTATGTTAAATTTTAGGTTAGATTTATTGAAGCTAAATAAAATGAAACATTTTCCTTGTGGTGCGTTAGCGGGACAAAGATGACTCTGATCCCCATAAGGGAAAATGAAAAATGAAAAAAAAGTTGAATAAAGTAGCAGCAGCATAACTTTTATTACATTAAACTGAAAGTTTCGTTGTGATGTGTATTAAACTAAAACATTTTTACATTGGGCTGGATAGTAAATTGATGGGAGATTGGTGATTGCAAACAAATTTGTTATACTGGTGTTTGCTATAACAGCATTTTATTGTATAATTACATAAGTTACATATTAGTCTTGTAACATTAAATATTTAAGCTGCTTTCATTCAAGAT